TATTAAACTTTGGTCAGGGTAGGAATATGTAAGAACCTTTTCCCAGGCCATATAATAATGTGAGCCAGAAATAATATTTTATGTTGTTTAAATATAAAACATTTTTTGTCTGAGAAAGACAGCTGAAGTTTTTCAAGAGTCTGAGTCAAGCCGGCATCAAAGAGCAGATAAAAACACGAGGATCAAGCTGAGATACAAGAGGGACTCTGCCTGCAAGCTCACACGCCTGTGGGCCCAAGGGGTATTCGTTTGATCTCTTTACTCATACACACACACACAGTGGGGAACGAGCAGCACCCATTCGCACTCATGACATGCACGGCACAACTGATACACTTCAAGACAAACGCCAAAATAAAAGGGTTACCTTGCTTGAAACCTCTACTCTAACTATTAAACTTTGGTCAGGGTAGGAATATGTAAGAACCTTTTCCCAGGCCATATAATAATGTGAGCCAGAAATAATATTTTATGTTGTTTAAATATAAAACATTTTTTATTTATTTAACATCTTTAAATAATTAAAAATCTTTTAAAATTTATTTTTTCTTCTTCCAAGTTATTTGCAAAGCCAACATTTTCACTGATACTGCCACAAAAGAATAAGGTTCTTTCCAATTATTTGCAGCAATGTATTTTTTATATTTGATAGAAATAATATTTATTTTGCTAAAATGTAGCCTATATTTTTATTACATTTTTAAATCTTTTAAAATATTCAAAAATGTCGTCTTCTTTTTTTAATTTTCCCTGTTTATACTTCCTAAGCCAACATGTTCACTGCCACAAAAGAATTATAAGTTATTTTCAAATAATTTTTTATATTATTTTAGCACTGTATTTTTAGAATTGCTGGAAATATTGTTTAATTTAACATTTTTAATATATATATAAACTTTTAATAAAATTAATAAATTATATATTATTACATAATACAGTATATAATAACTTGCAACCAAATGATATATATATATATATATATATATATATATATATATACATATAAAACTTATATTAAATAATAGTATATATATATATAAATATATAATTTTAATACATTTCTAAAATTTAAATAATAACAGTCACAACTAATTCTACTGCCATAGAGACTTTAGGGTTGGGAAAATAAGTAACCACATAGCAACGACCTAGCAAACCGCATGACAATGCACTAACTACCACACAGAACACTTTACTAACTGCATAGCAACACCCTGGAAACCATTTATCACACCCCAGAGTCTGGCACAACTCACAATTTCTTCAAAAAATGTGAAAATCTACTCTTTTCAATAACATATAACTCGTGTATTAGAAATACCCAAAGGTCTTTGAGTGCTGAAACAAGCCTGGGCCAAAATTACAACCTATACATTTACAGAATGACAGATTTCTTTGCACTAAACACCTGGGCAGTGATTTATAAAGAAGGAGAGAGCAGGAAGTGTCTGGCTGCTCCAAAAATAAAGGAGATAAAATATGAGGCTCAGAGTAGGCTGTTAATTGCCCTGCTATAAATACACGACGCCTCCTTTCAGACTATAAGGAACAAAGTCCTCCTCCACGGTTCTCTTTGTGTTCTCGCTGGTGTGGATGTGGATCAGTCGCGATGTTGCAGAGCTGTCAGATGCTCGCGCCATATGGGCTATGACGTCATCCACGCGAAAGGAACGCCCCGCGTTCTGAAGCTGGAGTCAAACACGCGAGCTTATCTCGGACTGAAACTCCCACACTCGTGCTAGACTGTTTCATTTCACGATTTACGAGCACTTTTTAGCGACCGCTTTGTGCTGGTGCACTTTGGGAGAAAAGTAACAGCTCTCTATATAAACTGCGCAACAAGTGTTTACTAACATTATTTAAGCGTGTCAACAACAAAGAGTGGACGTGAATGCGAAGTTGGCGTGTTTAAATACGTTTCTACGTGCCGATTAATTTTTTTCACACGCATCAGACAGACGTTTTTAGGGCGCTTCGTCAGTGTTTCTAAATACAATAATGATTTAAAAATAATTTAACCGAACACTTACATATGTTAAGCACAATTACTCAACACATGATAAATAGCGCTAAATAAACGACAACCCAATTAAATCAATTTCTCCACATGTAGGCCTACTTTACTCAATGGATACAAACCGCACGCATTTATTGCTAGTGGAAAACCAAAAACATGCTCAGTTGGTTAGAAAGTTGCAAACAATTTAAAAATATATATTTTCTAACACACAATTGATGTGGAAAGGAATACTACGAATTGAAAAATATGTTTACTTTTACTTTCATTTAATTTAGCAATGCTCTAAAATCCATAAGTTAATCACATGAAAATGGGTCTCTTTAATATACATGCCAAATACGGTATTGTGACACTTTATGACATGCACAGCTATCTTCTTTCAGATGAATTAAACTGCTCTCGTCATGTGACTCCAGCCATGTAAAAATGTTCTCATGAAAGTTACTATAATTCATAACTCTGCGCAAAATGCGCCAAACAACTCTTTTCAGACCTTTCAAACTCAGTAGTAAATATCGGGAAACTGAAATGTGCGCTGAAAAGCAACTTCAGGTCACATCTTTGCCCGCGATGATGGACTTACTTGAAAGTGAGGATGCAGAGCGGACGGTAGGATTTGTGGCTGGTGTTATCAGCCATCCGTTTGCCCCAAAAGTCATTGGTGAAGATGCTCCGGAGGCTGGAGCCCGGCCTGACATCTGGATTGTTGGTGATAGCCCATATATCATCATGCACAAACTCCCCCCAGAGAGAGTTACTGTAGCAGAGCGCGCACACCGCCACCAGCGCGGCGTACCGGAGCAGCCGGACTCCCGCTCCCGGCCTCGGTAGAGCGGACAACCGCCGCTGCACGGGGGGAGAAGCGGCTTTGGTCCCTCGGCTGTTCGCGGTCATGTCGGTCCCCGTCTCGCATGCCGCTCGTGGGAGTGAAAGAGAGGAGACTCGTCCCGTTCCATAGCCCGTGTGCTGCACTGAAGCATAGACTGCGTATGAGTTCTGAATGCGTAATATCTGCGAGTGTGAATGTGTATAAGGTGTTGAAATCAATGTAACCCGCCTACCGGCGCATGCGCAGGAGAGAGCGAGAGAGAGAGCGACTGATGGAAATAAGAGAGAGAGAGATGCAAATTAGAAAGAATGAGCACGTGAGGAAAAGAAAAGAAAAAACAGATGGAAAGAGAGAGATAAATGGAAATAAAAGGTAGAGAATAAAATATGGAAAATATATTATAGTTTATTATATTTTCCCCATTTCATATTTTTTTTTACCCCAAATCTTTTAGATTTACCTCATTTTTTCATTATTTATTTTTACACTTCATTAACTTTTTGTTTGATTACCATATGAAAGCTTGTTTTCGCTACAAGATAAAAAAATTAAAAAGGTAATTGTGTCTTTTTAAATTTATTGTGCATTCCGTGGCAGAAAAAAAAAAGAATAAAAAAAAAAAAGAATTATGAGATGTAAACTCAGAATTGTAAAGAAATAAAGTTAGAATTCTGAGTTCATAACACAATTCGGACTTTTTTTTTCACTGTGAGATTAAGTCACAATTACTTTTTTTTTTTTAATTCCGTGACAGAAACAGGTTTCTATAGTTTACAGCTGACTGAGAATAACAATAAAACTTGCAAAAGATGTTTTATAGCCATGTAATTTACTAAAACTAGTTTACTTTAAGGAAAGGAATATTAGTTGGTACTAAATGTTTAGATAATGTGCTTTGATAATAATGGATGTAATTTGAAGAATAGGTTGCTTTCTGCTCTCATATGTTTGTCAAAATAGTGCACAAGTATTCTTGTATTACACTAGGTAGGTCAAAAGGTTATGCTACTGATTAGATTTTATGATTTTTATAGTTTGTATAAATTGTGGTTATTAAAAAAAGACTGAACAAAATGGCAAACAGAACCTGAAAGCATCTTACATTGTTTACACGAAATTCCATAATATTTATGGTTATAGCAGTATATTTAGGCAGAAACTATGGCTACCAAGGTGAAATTTTGGAGGAGAGAATGAGAACACGAGAGAAAGTTAAATGCAAATTATGGAGTGAATGAGATGAGCGAGCGCAGGCAGGAAATCAGTAAAGAGCTGTGGGATATTTCACACAATGATTGCACTGCCTTGACCGTGACCTGTGCTTCCACACAGAACCAGTCATAAGCAAATTGCTCTGGGTTTGGACTTGCTAATGGAACAGGAAGACCGTGATAATGAATCATGATGATAAACACACTTTTAAAGATTCACTGAAGGGTGAACATCTGGCTAAACATGATTTTATGCAAGAAATGTTAAAATTACCCTTCTGGGGGGGCTGTTTAAATACATCTGGTGGCTCCCTACAGTCAAATCGCTCTTGCAACCAGATTGAACAGTGAAACATATTGCTGATGGAGCTTTTCTGCATTGTGAAATAATTTATGACAATTAAGCACATTTAAACACCCTCTACCAACTGTCAGTAGCAGAAGCAACAACGAAAAAACAATAAATTATATTATTTAAATAGTGCATAAATTTAAAAGTGCATAATTTGTAACCATAAATCATGGCAATATCTGAAGTACTGAATATAAAATATTTACATCTACATTTATTCATTTAGCAGAATTTATTTATTTATTAATTTTTTGTGTGAATTCATGGAGTTGGAACAAAAAAAATGTTAAGTATAATTTCTAGCAAATATATATATGAAATAAAAAATGCCCTAACATGTTTTAATAAAAAAAGAACTTAAAATAAAAAAAACATGAAAAAAGTTCACTTTAAAATATAAATATTATATATATGTGTGTGTGTGTGTGTGTCCTCACATATTACAATAAAGAAACTTATTTTGCAAAATGTGCTTAATTGTCTGAAAAATTATGTCTCAAAAAATCATAATGGTACTTAGATTTAATTTTCTTTAAAAAATATGTACAATATAATTTCTTCAAGTTCTATTTTGATTTTGGGGTGAAATATGATCTGGCTAAATATGCTAAATAAATTATCTGGAAAATATACACAAATAGATGATCAAGCGACTGCATAACCATACAAAAAACAACAACCCTGCAAATGCTTAGTGTTATATTAACATTTATGATTTAAGTTAATTCTGAAAACTGACTGTTACAAAAACAAACTCTGAAACATATAAACATATGACAGCTATAAACACCGTCCTTCTGACATCTAGCCAGTGCACATGATCTGTTCGGGCAGAAAAATGCCTACGAATCTCTGAAGGCACTGACCAACACAACAAATCCCTCCATCTGTGTGTCAGTCTGAAGCGGTGTCCATCTGTCTCTCTCTGACTTGCCTTGACATGTCTCACCTCACTGCCGTGGTCAAGTTTCTCACTGACTCATTGCAAATGGAGGAGAGACTGAGAGAAACAGAATATACAACATTCAATTACTCATACACACACCCATCTGCACACATGTGCAAACACCCACAATTCTGTACAGATGTGCAGAGACAGACACACACACACACACACACACACACACACAGCTTCAGGGAAGGGGTGACCCAGAGTAACCTCTTCGACCTCACTGGGGCCTTTCTGAGCAGTTTTGACGATGTTTCAGTGTTCCTGTTAAGAATCATGGACCTGAAGAGCTTGCTTTGGGTCCTGGGTTAAATATCCCATCCATCTTGACCGAGATGTCTCTAGTATCCAGAGTTCAGGCTGTTTTCCGTGACAGAACTCTGTACAGATCCAAATCCAAAGTGTCAGGTATCTCCAACCTGCCTCAGAGCAACTGGAACATTTCTACAGGGAGATGATGAAACAATCTTGCATTATTTCAAGTGTTAGAAGTACCAACAGCAGTCATCAGACAGATAAATAATGTAATGTCAATGTTAAATGTGCTAGACAAATGCTTTTAAATACTTCATCTGTGTCGCCGAGTACTATGATAATCTTGCCGTTTTTGATTTCAAACGCTGTCAATTGTACACATCACTGTTTCAATTAACGTCCCGCCCATTTGAGAGCTTTATAAATCATATATAGAGGCAGAACTTTTAGACGAGACTGGAATAGTCTTTCCTAATGCAATAGTTTAATTAATAGTGCTGGGTGATATTATACTTTTATATTGTGACAATAAAATATTTCAAGAAGAAGAATACTGAAAAAAGTATCATGGTTTGCACAAAAATTTTAAGCAGCACAACTGTTTTCAACACTGGTAATAATAAGAAGTGTTTCTTTAGCAGCAAGATTTGTACAAGATAAATATGCACTTGCCACATTGTTGAGGAAATTTCAGGGTAAGTCATGCTTCCTGTGGCGTCTTAAAACAGTTACTGCTGACTTACCACAGGCCTTTGAGTCCTGCGCTCCTCCTCTGCTGGGCAAGGTTATAGATCTCCTGCAGTTGTTTCCTCTGGTCTTCGCTCAGAGGAGATGTGAGGGACTGATACCAGCCTGCATCTGAACTCTGAACACCTGCAAAAGGAAGTGTTTCCAATTACTGGTGCTATACTTATGGGAAATTACTGAACATCAATTTATTGCGATGTTCAAATAAATTAATAATACTAAAAAAAAAAAAATCATCCAATAAATATAATATTAAAAAAGGTTTAACTAAAAACAAAATTTAAAAAAGTAAAAAAAAATAAAAAAAAACAGCAGTATGCTTTGCCTCGTGACATGCTATATGCAATATTTAATTGTTAATTAAATAATTAGTTATTTATAAAATTTCTATACATGCAATTTCAATGACCAAGTTAATTAAGAAACAACATGGCATATTATTAAGAGGACCATTTCAAAATAACTAAGTTAAAAAGATTATTTAAAAAAATTGTGGTAAAACTAATGAAATGATGAAAAAGGGAAAAAAAGTGTTTTACTATTATTTTATCTTAGCAGCAAAATAAAAAGTATTTATCCCACAGACAGATAAATAAATAAAAAAGAAAAATTAAATAAATATTTAGTTTTAAAATCAATAATGATCTTGAGCAAAGGAAAAAAAAAATCTAATTGAACATATTTGACATTTTGGGAGTTGACATGCCTTGCAGTCTGCACAATCTTTAATTATTAATTAAATAGTTATTATGAATGCAATTTTCTATGACCAATTTAAGTAAGAAACTACATTAAAAATGTAGGAATTTAAAATAAATAATTTACAACACTACAGGACTATTTCAAATTAACTAGTGTAGACCAAAAAAGCTTATAAATGGTAAAAAACCTAATAAATATTAACCTAAAATTTTGTTGTTGATTAAAATAAGTGTATGGACATATTATGCATTAACCACTCATTTGTTTAATATTCATCTATATGGAGCAGGATTTTGGACAAATGAGATTTCACTGTGGGTGGGGCTGTTCTAAGCAAATATAGCATAGTGTGACATATCTTAGATATGTAATAAATGTATTATGTAAATGTACATGTCTGGTATATTACAGAGTAACAAAAATGTGCATACGGAGCAGGGAGGCGGTGAAGAACTGATATTCATCCTCTCCATTGTCATAGTCCAGTGGTGTACTGTACTCCTCTAATGGGGTCCCCTCCAGACCTTCATCATCCCAATATTCATCATCGTCCTCATCATCTTCATCTTCACTGTCATTCCCAGTGGGTGCGCCGGACGACTGCAGGGCCACCACTTTCTGTCCGACCTCATCCTCGTCGCTAGGAATCTCCTCTGGAAAACAGACATGATGAATTCCCAAACTCAGTGTAGTAAATTTCCTGCGTAGGAACAGGAGGGGTTTGGTGATGTTGTCTGGATCTTGTTGAAGTAAAGGTCACTTCTAAAAATAGAGATTTCCAGTGTTTGAATCTCACACTACTGGTCTACCACTGGTATGAAGCAAAAAAAAAAAGAGCCTAAAGTCAATGATCCAAGCAACAATTTATGGAATTTATATATATATATATACATTTTTGGAATTTATGTATTTTGGGTTTACAATGAAACAATAGCTGTGTACAAATTTGCATATTATTCGTAGTATACAGTATGCCAAACTAGGATTATTAGTGTGTCACAAATCAAAATAAACACTGGAAAAAACAATGGTGGTAATCAGTATTTTGCCATGTTTTCCAGTACGAAAATATTCATATTATATAAATATTCCTATGAAAACCTAAAAATGCAAGAGAAGATATTTTGAAGAATGTTGGTCCCCATCGACATCCAAAGTATAGAAAAAAAAATACTATGGAAGTCAATGGGGAGCAAAAACTGTTTGGTTACCCACATTCTTCAAAATATCTTCTTTTGTGTACAGCAGAATAAAGAAATTCATACAGGTTTGGAGCAACTTGATGGTGAGTAAATGATGACAGCATTTTCATTTTTGGGTGAACTTGACCTTTAAGGCTTGTTTTCTGAGAATATATCTTAAATTAAGGTCATATTTTCCTGATTTAAGCATACACTTCTTACTAAATTTGGTTCGATTTATGCTTAAACGCAATACTGCATAGTTGTCTCTCCAAAAGTCCAAACATTAAGGGCATACTGGAAATATGCAATCTGGCATGCAGCTGATGTCTGTGTCTCACAGGAACCAGCATTATAATATCAATAAATCCATAACTCCAACAGTATGATGCTGTTAGAATTCAGGTCAGGGGTGTAGGGTCGTGAAGATCTATTTAATTCGTTTGAGTGCTTGATGCCCAAAGGTTCAGAATCATGTTAAACTAACACGCACAAGACGTTCCTCCATTTCCCATGTCTCCAGGGCCCTGTTAGAGCGATACAATCAGTTCTCAATCGTCCGTAAGCCCTGATGTCTACAGACCAACCTGAAGCTAAATATGCCAGAAATAGTACTTCCTGTGCAGGGATTACGTTTACCTGAGGTGAAGCAAGATAAGGACTTGATGAAACTGTGAGATTAATATAACCATACAGACCACCAAAAGCAGCAACAAACATAGGTCTCAATAGGTCGCTGCGTAAAGACCTACCGGTAATTACATCCTATTTGGCAATTTTATACATAATTAAGCATTTTTTGTTTCCCTAAAAGTCATTTATTGCACTAGTCAAGGTTTCGTGCACCAAAACATCTTTTTGAAAGACAATTTTCCACTCTCCTGTGACCCTTACTTAATTATAGCAATTGCTATGGTACCTCTAAGGGTTCTATATGTAAATGAGGTCATTTACATATAGAAGTCTTAAAGGTACAGACACTACACACTTTGCAAGTGAAATGCTTGAGAGTTTCTCTCCAATAATGTCACACACAATCTCACCATTCTCTTCCTCCTCTGAGCCTTGAGCTCTGGCGAGCTGCTCCGGTTTGTTAAGCACTCGGGAGGTGTAGATGTGCTTTAAACCCAGGAAGAGGAGGAGGATGGAGGGAACGATCTGCCCTGCAACTTCCTCCAGGACCGCAGGGCGGCTGGGCAACTCCATCAGAACACTGAGCCCAATGATGCACATCTTACGATCATGTAGTCTGTGGACGACAACAATAAAAACAACAAGCAATCATATATTTATAAAAAAAAATCAAAGAGAGAACGAAAAAGATGGCAGTGACACTCGTTAACAAGAACTAGGAAACAATCTGAATGTAAAAATGGCTGTGAATCAGAATTGAATTGTAATATGAAGTTGAATGTTTCTGGAAATACTCCATCTATTGAGTGTTAACATGCTTATAAATAAGTCATACTATTCAAAATTCAAATTCAGTTTACTACATTCCTGAATTTAACAGAAATTTAAAACCATTCCAAAGTTAGTTTTAAGCAGTGCACATCCCTGTCAGGAGCAGCTACCACATCAGCATAAATACAGATAAATGTGTTTAATCTCTCCGTTAAAAAAAATTTCATGTGACCTTCTGAAACAAATGAAAGGCATTTCCTGTGCAAACAGCCTTACCCTAAGAAGAACTCTGTGTCATTCATCCATTGGTTGATGAACTGCGCTGTGATTGGCTCCGGGCTGTGTGGGAAGCGGATGTTCTCCAGTGTGTGTATCAGTTGGGTGGGGTTATAGTACAGAGCTGCGATCACTACCTGTAGACACATGGTGCGGAGCTCACTGGACTTCACACCTCGTGTTAACCGCTCCAACACCGCCTCCACAAACAGAGGGATACACTAAAAAACATCCACAGGTACCAAAATTTGATGTTACATTAATGTGCATGTTTGATTTTGCTCATTAAACCAGCAATACACACCATTAATCAATCAGCTGTCACTTATAAAGCATCCTGACCAGGGTTATTATCGTTACTTTAATTATCGTTACTTTATTGAAATAAAACTGCATATATATATATATTAGTGCTGTCAAACGATTAATCGCGATCGCATCCAAAATAAAAGTTTTTGTTTGCATAATATATGTGTGTGTACTGTGTATATTTATTATGTATATATAAATACACACACATGCATGTGTATATTTAAGAAAAATATGTTACGCTTATATATTAAATATATTTATATATGATATGATTTATATGAATATAAATGTATACACGTAAATACATGTAAATATTTTCAAAATATATGTTGTATGTGTGTGTCTTTATATATGCATAATAAATATACACAGTACACACACATATAT